CGAAGTCAACATATAAGAAATTTTAACATAAAAATATAAATATTGAAAATACATACATATATATATACACACACACACATAAACAGAGGGGGAGAGAGAGAGAGAGAGAAAGATTATTTACGTATACAAAGATCTTGAGGAAGCAAAATTGCAAGAACAATGCAGAAGAGAGCCAAATGGGCTGTAAAGAGCTTATTTGAAGCCATGGTTACTTTGTATAATTTCAAATTGACTGATGATTTTTGCTGGTTCATCTTCACCATATTATATAGGGAATTTATTTCCTAATCAAAGTTATTTTCTGTTTTTTTTTTTAATTAGATAGTAAAGATAATATAATAAAAGCAATTGATTCGGTAAATTTCAAGAGTTAATTTGCCTTTCTTTTTCCATATTTAACAATATGTTTATGATAATTAATATTAAAAGATTTTATATATAATATATACAAATATGTTTGCTCAATACAAAATTATTAAAAAATGAAAATGATCTCTTTTATAGGTGCAAGATTATATTTTTGTTCCTTTATTTGATAATATATTTATTGCCATTTTTACTTTCCTTTTATGCTGACATTTTTTAAATTATTTTAAAATCGTAAGTTATTTCCTTTTTTAATAATAATATAATTCTTAATTAATTATTTCTAAATCTGATTCGGTAAATACCTTTTTAACTCATGTAAAATTAACTTAAATACTCATTGCTAAAGAGTGCCCTAACGATATTAATAACATATATCTTAAAATGTGAGTACCTAAGTCATTAATTTTAGGTCTGAATGAAAATATACTTGTGGAATGAGATTTGAAAATAATTAATTTGCATTAATATGTAATCAATTGTTTAATATTTTATTGCAATTAATTAAGAGCCTAATATGTAAAGATGCGTTTAATAAAAAAAAAATATATATTCTTACTTGAGCCCCTAACTGCTTAAGCAATTAACATATAGATTACAATTTTACAAAAATTCAAAAATAAAACACAAATCACTAATCTATTTAACCCATTTAAGTTAAAGAAACAGAATATATATATATATATATATATATATATATATATATAGGGAAGCTAAGAAAGAATCAAGTCATGGAGCCTTTCTTCTTCCATCTTCCATCTTCACCTTGAAGAAACATCCAACCTACCTCGATGATCCTAATAACTGCAGCTTGCACAAATTCAACTAGCTGGAACCAAGAACAGTTAAATATGGTGATTGTGGGATTCCACCATTATTCTAATGTAATATCAAGAATAGTTAAATATGGTGCTCCTCTGCATATTTTAAGACCATGAATTCTCCCTTTAGCCTCCACATTTCAAATTAAACTAGAAAATATTCTGCATATAAAATAAATAAAAAATACGAGATCTCCTAATTAAATTTTCTTTTTATCACAACCCATAATCTAAGTAGAACTACAAGAGTCTAATTGTACTGAATCAATAAATCGTGCAATAATTCATTTGTAACATTCCCTTTTTTTATCACAACCCATAATCTAAGTAGAATCACAAGAGTCTAATTGTACTGAATCAATAAATCGTGCAATAATTCATTTGTAACATTTCCTTTTTTCATCATAACTCATAATTTACATAGAATCACAAGTGTCTAATTGTACTAAATCAATATATCGTGCAATAATTCATTTGTAACATTCCCTTTTTATCACAATCCATAATCTAAGTAGAATCACAAGAATCTAATTGTACTGAATCAATAAATCGTGCAATAATTCATTTGTAACATTCCCTTTTTTTTATCACAACTCATAATCTAAATAGAATCACAAGTGTCTAATTGTACTAAATCAATATATCGTGCAATAATTCATTTGTAACATTCCATTTTTATCACAACCCATAATCTAAGTAGAATCACAAGAGTCTAATTGTACTGAATCAATAAATCGTGCAATAATTCATTTGTAACATTCCCTTTTTTTATCACAACTCATAATCTAAATAGAATCACAAGTGTCTAATTGTACTAAATCAATATATCGTGCAATAATTCATTTGTAACATTCCCTTTTTATCACAACCCATAATCTAAGTAGAATCACAAGAGTCTAATTGTACTGAATCAATAAATCGTGCAATAATTCATTTGTAACATTCCCTTTTTTTATCACAACTCATAATCTAAATAGAATCACAAGTGTTTAATTGTACTAAATCAATATATCGTGCAATAATTCATTTGTAACATTCCCTTTTTATCACAACCCATAATCTAAGTAGAATCACAAGAATCTAATTGTACTGAATCAATAAATCGTGCAATAATTCATTTGTAACATTCCATTTTTTTATCACAACTCATAATCTAAATAGAATCACAAGTGTCTAATTGTACTAAATCAATATATTGTGCAATAATTCATTTGTAACATTCCCTTTTTATCACAACCCATAATCTAAGTAGAATCACAAGAGTCTAATTGTACTGAATCAATAAATCGTGCAATAATTCATTTGTAATATTCCTTTTTTTTATCACAACTCATAATCTAAATAGAATCACAAGTGTCTAATTGTACTAAATCAATATATCGTGCAATAATTCATTTGTAACATTCCCTTTTTATCACAACTCATAATCTAAGTAGAATCACAAGTGTTTAATTGTACTAAATCAATATATCGTGCAATAATTCATTTGTAACAAATGCATAATTCTAACCGACTCCATTCCTAACATTACTAAAAACATTCTCATAATTTCCATCAGTCATTTAATTACTCAAAACAAGATAAATTTTCAAAGTTTGATACATTACTTAATAATAATCAAAGACGGCGTAGCCTTCGCATACATAAGGATTATTGTGCACGATAAATCTTCATACTTAATTCACATTAGATTTTATTTTATTTTATTATTATTATTATTATTATTATTTTTGGGTAGTCATTTAACCTTATCGTGGAGTAAGACCCAGACCCACCATTGAATTTAAAACCAAGTCAATTTTCCAGAATCTATGCCAGCCCACTTTATTGGGATTCAAAGTGTTTACTCATTCCGTATGATACTCCTGTACCCATTTTACTAAATACCCAATTCCACAATCATGCCCCAATTCATCCCTTTTATTTACTCTGGCCCATTAACTTATATTATATAATACCCATTCTACATTTTATTTATTAATTTGCCCAATCTTCTTAATGCTTCTAAATTGTGTTATTAATATTAGTATTCCTATCTTTGCGTGTGTATATATATATATATATATATATATATATATTTTAGTGATTACAAGTATTATCATATTAATTAAACCCCAATTTCAACAATATCCAACTTAAAACAACAAAACAATCATTTCATATGTTTCAATGCAAACGACACATTGCTTTAACTAGAATTATGCATGGCTCATAAAATAATATAGTTCCAAGTGCAATATGTGATGTATCTTCCTGGAACAAAAAAAAACTAATAACGAGAGATGAAATATACTTACGAGCTTCATCATTGCGTTACACAAACTTATTAGCCTAAAAGTAATATGGTATTCTCAATGTGGTGGTTCCCCCATAATCCACGGTTAAGTATAGTAACCTGAGACTCATGGAGCTTGGGGAGGTTATGCTGTAACCCCCGCCATTAATTCGAATTGTTGACTAGTCTCCCTCGCTGAACAAATTATATAAATGAAAAAAGATAGCATACACCACTAATTAAGTAGAAGGGTATGTAACAAACCGTTTCTCTGTTCATTAATAACTTGAAAAAGGAAACAACCTTTAATGATATACATAAAATATATATACACGCACACACACACATATATATATATATATATATATTTAATGCCAATGGGTTAAATACTACTAAAGAAGCTATTTGAATCTTCATGATGATGATGCATAATGGTTTAGCCCACATAGGAGTTTCATTTGGACTGGGCCACTAAAAAGGTGATTTTGGAAGCAAGTGCATTTGGGCCACAATTTTGATATTTGTAAGTCTCATTTGGATCCCCAAAATGTATAATGAATTCTTTAACCCGTAATCTTGCTCTATAAGCCTTTTACATTCTAGATTTAGAAATTAATAATTTAACTATTTATCTTTTAATAATTAAAAAAAAAAAACATAAAAATACACTAATTACAAAATAAAACCAAGAAGGGGCTATATGGTACTTACAACTTTACTCTAAATATAAAATATATATAACCTAAGTCCAGCCTTCATTATATTCAGAGCAGAAAAAAGTTTAAAAGGGTCAACAAGGTCACTATTCTACAATTTAATAATTAATTTTAGATTTTAGATTTTTCTCCTTATTATTTTAATAGAAAATATATAATAAATTACATATTTCCAACATTTGTAAAAAAAAAAAAAAAAAAATTATGACCAATCAATATTTCTGGTGAAAGAAAAATTTATTTAAACTGTGCAGCTCGTATATTTTTTGCATAATTTTTTTAATCAACTTTTCAATATAAAAAAAATTAATTTTAAAACGTTATTGTTATGACTAAAGTAATTTTTTTTCGTACACGTGTAATTAAGGGCTCTCTCCCTCTCCCTCTCTCTCTCTCTAACTTTTGTGGACCCACCTCGATTCATGTGCTAAGGGCCCCATCTTAAGCCAATAAAATAATATTTTCTCAAAAAATTGTTCAAAAAATCTCTCTCTTTCTAGGGATGTTACTTTCGGCCTGACGGATGAATATTCGGTCATATTTCTTCTCGCCGCTCTTAAACTGCAGGTTGTTTCAGTTGTCCGCCATTGATCATCTTAATGTTAAAATTCATGGAGTTAATTAGTAGCAGATGAGAATGAATCTTAAAACCATTTTTGAGTTTACTGAGGTTAAAGCAAATTGCGATATCAGTTCAATCAACAACGAAATTACACAGAAACCATTTGCTAATACAAACATGAAAAAGGAAAGGGGGAAAAAAAGAAAGAAAAAAGGACAATTGATTTTGCGAGAAAGGAGAAATGTCGGATAAGTAATTCATTAACGAGCTCTTGAAGTAGATCCTGAAGCCCCATAAAACTTCTTGTTATTGTTAACCCATGTCTTGAAAACAAACTTACTGATCCCAATCTCTTCACAAAAAGCGCCTACTTCAGCTGAACGGCTTCTGTCCTTCAAGGTCCATCCCAAGCTCTCTGCAAATTCTCTCATTGAGTCTTTCTGTTCTTCACTGAACTTCGACCTCTTGTTCTTCTTGGAATCAGCAGAACGGCGTCGTATTGCTTCTGGTTCAAAAGGAGGTGTGCCATGCATGCTCAGGAGAGTCAGCATCCAAGCGGCTCGCAATAAATTTATGTCGTAATCACCGTCTCCGCCTGGTGCACCGTTCTGGAGTTCATCGAACACAACGGAAAAGTGGTAATTCCGGTGGAAGCCGCAATTAGCACAGTACTCTTGTCTGGTCTCGCTCGACAAGTAATCATGGCAGCCTTCATCATCATCATCATCGTCAATCTGGATGTAGTTGAGCTTCCATCCGTGATTTGGAGTAACGGGTTCATTGTAAAGCTCTCTCTCCATCTCTAGGTCTCTCTCCATCTCTTTCTCTCTCTCTCTCTCTCTCTCTCTCTCTCTCTCTCTCTCTCTCAAAATCAAAGAAAAAGGTTAAATAAAATACCACTCATATAATTCGAAAGGACTTATAATACCCCACCTCCATATTTTCAACATTGAGGGTGAGCAAAAATGAAGCTCAAATCTTCGTGCAACACATGTACTAATCTTATGGGGCTTAATGAACCAGCTGCCACGCAGCTCTGGTTTCTATCTATCTTTTTCATATGTATACTTGAAATGGTTTATTTTACTAGGGAATCCTGGTGTGTATATATACATATACATGTATTATATACATCGTATATAGCGGTTACAAAGTGATTAATGCACTTCTTTGTGTCTATGAAGGAGGTCAAGTTGGCGTTAATAGGGGCGTAAGGATGAAACATGTTGCAAGTTTAGTTCAGTCTAATCCTCCTTTTTTTTTTTTTTTCCTCGAATGTTTTTGTATTTTTTGAACTCTCTGAGGGTAAAAAGAAAAGTTCAAGTCTAAAGGTGATGTTGAGTAACTCCCGTCATAGGAATTATCACCCATATACTAACAAATCGTTTCTTGTCCTTTTTTACCATCTCTTTTAATTTGAATACGTAAGTTTCAATAGCAAATTCAAAAAGAAATGAGTTGAGATAGATATTAATTAAAGCTCATCTTTTGTTTGAAAGTTATTGTGAATTTTTAATTTCCAAAATTTATGTTTGTTTATGAAGACAAATATATTGTTGATAAAAATAAATTAGGAATAAAGTTTCAAACAGGAAAGAAAGTAATATACATATATATATATATATATAAGCATAGCAATATGGTAATTTTGAAAATAACTTTCTATGTCTAATTCTATATAATCTCAATTCATTTTTTCTGTTATCACTTTTTAATTTTTTTAATTACAAAAAAAGTTCTATTGATTTTAACCCATTGTGACTACCTTAATTTGTGTTTGTGTGTGAGGAAGTTTAGAATATGGATCATTTATCAAGTACACATGTGTTAACAATATCAAGAAATTGAGTCCACTATATGCAACTATTTATACATTTGTTAGGGCCTTTTTAAGCACCTTATGTTTGCTTTATACACTTGATCCTTATGATTTGACATTGTTAATGAATATTATTTGGGAAATTTGGTCTAAGTCATAATCAATGGGTACATCAAGCAATCTGGATTCTCCCACATGCTGATCCAAAAGTTGTATGATAAATGAGTAAATTTTATTTTGTTTTGGAGATTAATTCTACTTAGTAGGTAATCAATGTTAGTCTGGATAGACTCCTCCCTCTATTACGCTTTTTTAAGATTCATTATGATGGTTTGATTTAGAGGAATGATTATGCAAGAATTGGCATCATATATGAGGATTCTAATGGATTATTTTTGTTTGCGACTATGCAAGAGTTAGAGTTAGAGAGAGAGAGAGAGAGAGAGAGAGAGCATGTATAAGAATTTTACATAACAATTACTCCCAACTTGAGGCATTTGAGCAAAAATTGATTATTGCTCTTGATATTATAATCTCGTCCACAATCTTAACCTATCTCCTAAACATATTACAATTAAAAAGAGAGAGAGAGAGAGAGAGAGAGAGAGAGAGAGAGAGAGAGAGAGAGAGAAAGCATATAAAAAAACCTAACAGTTAATTACAACTAATTATATTAGACAATTATCGTTAGATAGTCAAAATTGTTCTATATATACATGGAATATAAATATATCTTACAGATCCTTGGAAAAATTATATATCAACCTAATGCTATAGTTTTTTTATTATAGACCTTTGTTGTTTATCTAGATATAGGTATAAAATTAATTTTTGTCGTTTATTAAGGTAGATATACAGTTCTAGAATTGATTTTTGTCGTTTATAGAAAATTATTATTTAATTTGTTCAAATGTGTTTAGTAAGAAAAATGAATTTTAAAGATTCGAAGTTTATTTTGAAACTGACCTAAGAGAGATTGACCTCATGATTGGTGTAGCTTAGAAAATGGTGACAAAACAAGTTTATGCCTCATAACAAAGGTATACATCCAAGAACTTAAATGCTTATAGCCTGAAAAAAGGTCTGAAAGAGAAAACTAAAAAGATTACGAAACATGATTTTATAATTATTACACAAAAATAAAAAATAAAAATCATATTGAGAAAATCACACATGACTGAAAATAACCTAAAAAAAATCTGATAATAAGTTAAAAGAGTCAGTTGTTGTTTCTTATGTACAACCAAAAAAATTGAGGCTCATAGAACTAGAATATTAAAATCTAGAGACCGAAGGCAAATGCATGAAAAAACATACATAGCAAACACTAATATAATACGTATTATCCCTATCACCCTCCTCCATATGTTACAAAATGATTACTCCCAACTTGAGATATTTGATAGAAAATTGATCATTGCACCTGCTCTTACAATCTTGTCTGCCAGTTTAAACTATCCCCTACCAACATTTGCAATTAAAAAAAGAGAGAACTCGTCAAGGAAAAAACATGGCAGCTAATTTAGAGAATTGTCGTTATATAACCATAATTGTTCCATATACACGTGTAATAAAAATATATCTTACAGATCTTTAGAGAAATTATAGATCAATTTAATATTTTTTATTTCTTTATTGTAGATCTCTGTCATTTATTTAGGTATAATTATAAAATAAATTTTTGTCGTTTATTTAGGTAGATATACAGTTCTAAAACTAATTTTTGTCGTTTATAAACAATTATTATTTAATTTATTCGCACGTGTCCATTTAGAAATATAGATCTTAGAGATTCAGAATTTATTTGAAAACTAACCATAGAGAGATTGACCTCATGATTGATGTAGCCTAGAAAATGGTGGCAGAACAAGTCTATGCCTCATAACAAAGGTATACATCCGAGAATTCAAATGCTTATAGCCTGAAAAAAGACCTGAAAGAGAAAACTAAAAAGATTACGAAACATGATTTCATAATTATTACACAAAAATATGAAAAAAAAAATTATATTGAAAAAATCGCACCTGACTGAAAATAACCTAAAAAAATACTTGACAATAAGTTAGGAGAGTCAATTGTTGTTTCTTTTTACAATCAAAAAATTGAGGCTAATAAAAATAAAATCTTAAAATCCGGAAATTGAAGGCAGATGCATGCAAAAACATACATAGCAAACACTAAATATAATATGTATTATCCCTATCAAAGTAAATCCTCCTCCACATGTTATAAAATGATTACTCGCAACTAGAGGCATTTGACAGAAAATTGATAGTTGCACTTGTTCTTACAACCTCGTCCACCATTTTAAACTAGCAACATTTGTGATTAAAAAAAGAGAGAACTCATCAAAGAAAAAACATGGCAACTAATTCAGAGAATTGTCGTTATATAACCATAATTGTTCCATATACATATGTAATAGAAATATATCTCACAGATCCTTAAAAAAATTATGAATCGATTTAATGTTTTATGTTTCTTTATTGTTGATCTATGTCATTTATTTAGGTATAATTATAAAATTAATTTTTGTCATTTATTTAGGTAGATATACAGTTTTAAAGTTAATTTTTGTCGTTTATAGACAATTATTATTTAATTTATTCGCACGTGTCTAGTTAAAAAATTAGATTTTAAAGATTCAGAGTTTATTTGGCAATTGACCTAAGAGAGATTGACCTCATGATTGGTGTAGCCTAGAAAATGGTGGCAAAACAAGTTTATGCCTCATACAAAGGTATACATCCAAAAATTTAAATACTTATAGTCTGAAAAAAGACCTAAAAGAGAAAGCTAAAAAGACTACGAAACATGATTTCATAATTATTACACAAAAATACAAGAAAGAATCATATTGAAAAAATCGTATCGTGCTGAAAATAACCTAGAAAAATATATGACAATAAATTAAGAGAATTAATTATTTTTTCTTATGTACAATAAAAAAATTGAGGCTCATTGAAGTAGAATCATAAAATCCAGAAACTGAACGCAAATGCATGCAAAAACATACATAGCGAATACTAAATATATTATGTATTATCCCTATCAAAGTAAACCCTCCTCCATATGTTATAAAATGATTACTCCCAACTTGAGGCAGTTGACAAAAAATTGATAGTTACACGTGCTCTTACAACCTCGTCCACCATTTTAAATTATCCACTAGCAACATTTGCAATTAGAAAAAGAGAGAACTTGTCAAATAAAAAACATGACAGTTAATTAAGAGAATTACTGTTATATAGCCATAATTATTCCATATAGAAATATATCTAACAGATCTTTAGAGAAATTGTATATTAGTTTAATGCTTTTTATTTCTTTATTATAGATATTTGTCGTTTATTTAGATATAGTTATAAAATTAATTTTTGTCGCTTATTTAGATAGATATGCTGTTCTAAAATTATTTTTTGTCGTTTATTTAGAAACTGTCAGACAATTATTGTTCAATTTATTCCACGCGTGTGTCTACTTAAAAAAGTGAATCTTAGAGATAGTAAAGTTTATCTATAAATCATAATTGTTATTTTAGAGAATTAGTTATGTGGATCGATCCAACACTTTTGCTTTTTTTATTATAGGGTTTTGTGGTTATTTATCATATGTATACTGTTAAAAAAATTGCAAACCCTAATAATTTTACGAGTTTTAAGCATAAGGGTTACCGGAGTATTTTATACTGTGTTCTACATGTAGTCATTAACATAAGATGAGTTAGCATAACTACTTCAAATGCATTTCTCATTGCCTATGGAACAATATTACAAAAATTAATGTTTAAACTCTAATGAAACCTCTTTCTTTATGAAAGTATAAGGTAATTATGAATATCTAATTTCATTAAGTATTTATTAATTTTGTTATGTAATTTATTATTAAAAAAATGAACTATTACTAGATAAAAAATATATTAATTTCCAGCATTTAGCTAGAGAAGTGCTCAATGTACATTTAAGAAGATATTGTTTTTGTTTTTGGTAGTTGTGAAGCCTTATGACTAAGAGTTACACCAGAAACGGTAATAACGCAATAAAGGATGGCCGGTTATATATATATATATATCTATATTTTATACACACACACACACACACATATATATATATATATGCAATGATTATCTTTCTGGAATAATCTATCTCTTTATCATACCAAACCCAATACGCCTATTGCCTTACAATGAGTGTTTGTTCAATTTTATTCTGAGCGAAGTACATGTGTTTGGGTTGTCCGGATGAAGGCACTTAGAATACAATAATTAAGCTAAATTAGAAGAAATTAAACAAATTCAAATTTGATTCTTCCAGGTTTAACCACTCTCAACTTGTTGGCTACGGTTATGTGCTTTCCTAATACTTACTTTTTCATTTGTTTGTCGTTTTCTAGTCTCTGGGATAGAGACTAGAAAACGGTCTTAATTAGGTTAGACAAATCAGTCACAAGGATTGAACTCCATTGTTTGCATTTTTGGGATTGAATCAGAATCATGAGCAAGAAGAAATCAAAATTAAACACAGAAACAAAACGATACTCCATTAACAAAAGACCCCAAACTAACAAGGATTACAGAAATTAAGCAGCTGCATACAACCAGGAAAGAGAAAATACAGCACACAAATGAAACCCTAATCAACAACAAGTTACACAACAAACACAGAGACGGTGTAAAATCCATCTATGGGGTATGGGAGGAGGAGGCTGCTTCACGGACATGGTAAAACCTCTTGTTGTTGTAGAGCCAAGTCTTGAAGACGCGCCGACACACGCCTATCTCGCTGATGGCCCGATCCACCTCGGCTTTATGACCCCTGTGCCTCATCTTCCACCCGAGCCTCTGGGCCAAGGACAGCAACGCTTCACGCTGAGCCACGGTGAACCTCGCCTTCTTGGGCCTGGCCCTGAACCCCAGAGGGTCAGCCGGCACAGGGGCTGGGGGCTGGGGGCGCTCACTCCGGACCATTTCGCCACGTAAGCGGGCGATATTCTTGATGACCCGAAGGCTGAAGTTAAAACGTTGCCGTCCAAGACGACGTCCACGACCACGGCCACCACTCCCCTCGCCGTCTTCGACGGTGACCGGCACCGGCTCGGTCTCAAGGTCGATTAGCGGGATACGGCGGTGGTAATTTCGGTGACACCCACAGGCTGCACAAGAGTACTCATCCTCGTTTTGGGAGAGGAACTCGCGGCAGCCGTCTAGTGAGTAAGCACCGAGATGGGCGGCGTGGTTTCGATTGCACTCCATGTAAACTTGGGTCTCCATTGGGGGTAGCTTTGTAAGAAACTGGTTTTTAGGGTTGGTGGTGGGTTGGTCTGAAGTCCATGTGAGCTTAGCCGCTGTTTTATAGAGTGAGAGCGGAGAATGGGGGAGGGTGAGGTGGTGATGTGTCAGCCAGTGAGAGGCGGTGTCAGGAATAGAGAGACGGTTACAAAGCCTGTGGTGCCTTGTGAGGGGGGAGGGGGGGTGCTAAAGTTGATGCATGCATGAAATTGCAAAATTGTCATTTAAAAAAAAAAAAAAAATTTAAAGAGAGAACCATTTGAACTCACACTGTTTTAAGATGACACAGCAGTTTTGATTTTACTTCCCCCTGTTTTCTTGTAATATTTGTCTCAGTAAATATAATTAGCAAAACTTTATATTTAACTTCAACAATTTAAATTCACAACGGCAATAAATTTTTCCATTTCTATTCTTTATTTTTACCTTATAACAAAATAATTAACTGGTTTTTAATAATGTATTTTAAAATTTTTTATAATTTATTTTAAGTGGACCTGTCAGTTACACTTTCTTTCGTATTTTCTGTGTCCTTATTTAAAAGTTTATTATGTGATTAATGATGACAAAATCTGCAAAAATAACTACAGTTACATTTTAAATTTAATTAATCAAATATTTTTTAAAAGATTAATTATAAATTATGAGAATATAATTAATAAGCTCTAAATCTGATTTATATCGTTTAAGCTCAATAAATTTAAGTGGATGTGCCAAATTACTTTTCTTTTTCTTTTTCTTATATTTATATTGTTAAGTGTTTTGTTTTTATCAATTATGTAAATATAATTAATGTATTTTAAATTTTGATTTCTTTTCCATATTTTTTTACCAAAAGAAAATTGAAAATGGAACACTTAATAAATACCATCCAAATAAATTAATGTTTTTAATGCACATCTCTCTCTATTTCTCTAAATATGTTAGTATATATACATTTATATTTACTTCCTATTTTAACTTTGAAATATATATATATATATATATATATTTAAAAAAAAAAAAAACAAAAAGGAAGGAGAAAACAGCCAAAATTTTTTGATGTCTTCGAAGTAAAAAGAAGTTGTAGACAGGGAGTCACGCTTTTTTTCATACAGCCTGTTGATAGTGTAAGTTATAACGCTTCTATATACACATTAATACCTATATATATATGTGTGTGTGTGTGTGAATATAATTGCATTTATTTTTTGTATTTTGGAGTGGCAATTATGTGTGGAAAAACAAAGAAAAAGTAAATGAGACTGAAGACTTAATGATGAAGAATTCAGATTTGACAAACGCAATAATTGATTAAGTTCTAAAATACGCAAATTAAGGAGAAGTTATTTTGTAACTGGTAGTTAATGAAGTGGTTATATATATATATATATATATCCTTCTTATTATTAAAAAATAAAATAATAAATTACAAATTTTCATTTTTGAAAACAAACCCCTTCAATTATTTAAAGCTAAGAAGACTGATAACTCCCAAGTGAACAATAAACCATCAGGTGCCGATAAAATTTTTTTAGTAAGGCATGAACAGCTTAATTATAATTTTTAAGAATCTAGTTTGAATTAAAATTATATTTAGTAATTTATGAATTTACCAAGTAATAGTTAAAACAATATTGATATCATATTTACTCTTATGTAATATTGAGCCCTCTAGCTATCATCATATTGTATAAAGTTGTTTTTATTTTCAAAAGTATATGGTGATATATATATACATATATATGGGTGTGTGCTTGTGTGTGTGTATAAGTACATGTTTTAATATCATTTGCACTCCGCTCATACATACATAAATAGAGAAAGGAACTTAGTTGTATAAAGAACTCAATGGTTCTTTTATTGAACTCTAAATATGTGAGCATTGAAAGAGGGAGAAAAAACAAACTTGGAAAGGTTATTTTAAAAATTATAATTTATTTTATTTATTAGTTTAAATTTAAATGTAATTTAATTTTTAATTAAATTTAATTTATGTTTATTTTTTAAAAAATTATTTAATCAGTAACAGTTTATTTTTTAATATATTTATTTTTTAGATAATGATAATTTAATTTTAAAAGTTTTGAGTTAAATGTAAATCTTCAAAGTACAATAACTTATTAATTTTAAAGTTAGTAATACCCAAAAAAAAATTAAATTTTCTTCACATTTAAAAAAATCCAAGACATTTTGTTTAAATCTGAATAAAACCACAAAGAAGCTATCATCCCAGATTGGTTGCTGTTTTACAGATTTTGGAGGGTCCCATGAAAAGGATTCATGTAGGTATATGATTATGTGGTTAGTACGTACTACCAGCTTCCAATAAGTAGGAATATGTTGCTAGCTTGCGATTCTGGATGGATAGATTTAGCTTATCCACTGTAATCTACTCCATATTTCCTTCCTTTTCTCTCAATTTCTCGGCTTTCTTCACAGGCTCATTATGGTTTTCTTCTTTATTTTTCTGTCTCTACGTCTTTCTCTCACCCTCTTCTTAGTGCCCTTTATGTTGCCTCTCGACTTTCACTCTCAGTCCCTCCCCTTGAAGCTCTTTCTGGACTTTTAATAGTGACAAACCTAATCCCTTAAGTTGTGCTCCCCTCTTCTTCAATACCATGCTTTTCTCCAGCCCAACAAATTCTAATCACTGCTCTATCTCCTAGATTGGATTGCTTGCTTCGGGTCGATGCTTCCTTTTTATGCAGGTCTAATTCTAATCTCCGCTGTCTCTGAGCTTTGTCTCTCGTTTATCTTCTCTTCTGCATTTTTTTTTTTTTTTGGAAACCCTTTCTCGGCTCCGGAAGCTCCGTTCTTGTGTTCTCCCTGCCGGATATCTATTTCGCCGCTGTTACTTTTTGGGCTGGAAGTGGGTTAATTAGATTTGTTTGAATAAAATGGGTTAATTTGGGTTTAAGTTAAAAAGGAAAAAATTAAAATGCGTGAGCTTAGGTCTAAAATAATTCAGGTATACGAAGAAAAGGAAACTGGTTACCCAAATGGCCTATGCTATAATAATTATAAGGCTTTTAAATATTAGGAAATCTGGGGTATAAGGGGAATGGGCTTGGGTTAACAAGGTTAAGGCTAGGCTTTTAATTGGGTTTGACTAATCTTGGGTTTAAGAAAAAATGGGCTTAAAAAAGGGATTATTTTAAAAAGAAGGAAAGGCTAGATATGGGCTTAAAATGTTTATTAGGACGAGCTCAGTTTCCTCTTTCATATGGGCTGGACATTTGGGTTAAACTGAATGGGGTTAATGGAGAATGGGCTTCGGTTAACAAGGTTGAACTGGGTTGGACTAGTTTTGGATATAAGAAAAAATAGGTTGGTCTTAAAAATGGGTTTAGTTTTTTAAATGAATTGGGCTAAAAAAAAGGGAAAAAATTTTAAAGAACTAATGACTAGATTTGGGCCTACAATGGCCATTAATTACGGCCTCAGTTTCATCTTTCCTATGGGCGTGGCATTTAGGTTTAAACTGAGTGGGGTTTAATGGAGAATGAGTTTGGGTTATAATGAGGCTTTTAATACTTAGGAAATCTGGATTAGATTAGACGTCGGAGCTTGAGTCTAAGACAATTTAAGCTTATGAAGTGGGCCGAAAAGAAAATGAAATTGGATTAACACTAATATCATAATTACAAAGTTTATTTAAAACACTAATAAGATCAGTCACCAGTCACATTATTAATATAAAACATATATGTGTTCTCCATGTATTAAGTAGCCGTGTCCTGTAGTTTGACAGCCTCAAAATAAGTTGTCATGCCGCCGCGGCACTGATTAATACTTCGCAAGCAAATCAAAATCTCGCCGCCAGAAAAAGAAAATAATTTATAAAACCCTTTAAAATAACTTGGGTCAACTGTTTTCTGGTATGCTACCATTTTTTACACACGTATATTCCATTACCAATTAATGGCTTTGATTAACACCAAACAGAAATAAATTTAAGAAAAGAAAAAAATAAAAATAAAAATGGCAAGGGTCTGAGAAAGCTAAAATAGGGAAACCCCATTTGCCCCACAACTTGGTGGAGTCAGAATAGCTCGGGAAATGAAGCTATGGAAGCGGGCTGCCGGTGCTATCAAAGACCAGAGCAGCCTCTTCGCCGCTGGTTTCACCCGACGAACGTCCTTTAGAAATCCCGATCTTGAATCGGCGATCATCAAAGCGACGAGTCACAATGAGCATTACGTCGATTACAGAAATGCCCAGAGAGTTTTTGCTTGGATTCGCACCTCTCCGCTCAACATCAAGCCTCTCGTTTGGGCTCTCTCGGCCCGCATGCAGAAAACCAGAAGCTGGATCGTTGCGCTCAAGGGGTTGATGCTCATGCATGGCGTCTTCTGTTGTAAGGTTCCTGCTCTCCTAGGGATTGGTCGTTTGCCTTTTGATCTCTCAAATTTCAGCGACGGCCATGACAGAGCATGCAAGGTGTGGGGTTTCAACGCTTTTGTTCGCGCTTATTTTGCTTTTCTTGACCAGAGATCTGCCCTTTTGCGAGATCAAGCGAAACAGAGTGGAGATCCAATGTCGCAGGAGCTTGTCAGGCTTCAAAAATGGCAGTCTCTGCTTGATACTCTGCTTCAGATAAGGCCTCTTGCCGATAACATGAAAACCACCCTGATTCTTGAAGCCATGGATTGTATAATCATTGAGTTATTCGACGTTTACAGCAGAATTTGCAGTGCGGTCGCCAATGTTCTGGTAAGAATATGTTCGGCTGGGAAACTTGAAGCAGCCATGGCGCTTAAGGTTCTTCAAAAGGCAACCATGCAAGCGGATGATATCTCCATTTACTTCGAATTTTGCAAAGATTTTGGGGTTTTGAACGCGAATGAGTTCCCAAAAGTTACCCAGATACCTGAAGAAGACATACGTGAGCTCGAAAGGATAATAAATGGAGAGACAGAGATGAAGGAATCGGACATGAAAGTAGATGATAAGGCCATTGTTGAACAGAAGGAGCAGGTGAGAGATCAGAAAGAGAAGTCGATGATGAAGACGATAATAACAGAGAAATGGGAGGTGTTCGATGAAGAAAATTTGAATTCAAATGGAGATCATTCCAAGCAAACAGGGCAAACTCCTTCTGCAGCCTCTGTAGATCATCTTCTTCTACCTCTTGTACCTGTGGACGAACCTGCTTATAAAAACTATGATGATATTCCAGATTTCATTCGTTTCTAGTAAAATTTGGGTTAATTGGATACTTTCTCTCTGGCCTGTTAATGGATTACTTGATTAACAACTGCTCTCTGCAAGCAAATTAATTTCATTTTGCAGAAAATTTGATCTTCATGCATGATTAACAGGCCACTGATCAAGAAAAACTGAGACATAATTAGAGGGGTTAAACATTCTGGAGTCGAAGATCTTGTTATTTAATTCTCTGTCAAAGGAAAAAAAAGATGATGACATGAAAGTCAACTTGACATATATAATATGTAATGGAATTAAATGGCATATTCATTTGACTTTTTGCTTCTACTCAGAAAGAAAATGAAATCAAATCATGAGGTGGTTTTCATTTCTCTGTATCCCTTTTTTTGGTGTATTGAAATTCCCATTTGAAACTATAGACTTAATTTAAAATGAAATAAACACGAGTATAAAATTATGCTCTAAACAGAGTCAAATCAGATTAAACTAAAAGTGTTTTAAAGAAAAAGGTATATTTTTATACTGCAAATATTATCGTGTGATTTATTTAAACACTATTTATCACAAAATAATGTAAAGGGTTATCTAGTCTAATATTTACAATCATTCATATAACACTAAATAATTTTGTGGTCTCTACCTTTTACAATCTTACTTGCCTACTATCTTTTACATATATATATATATATATATATTCTAAATGATACTGAAAATAATTTGCAAGGTTTACATGACCTTTTTTATAGTTTTTCTTTTTTTTAAAATGCGATTTTCTGTTACCTTCAGAATATAAAACTACAACATAATTGCAAGCTGAATTTTTCTTTGGTAACTTCTACTTCACAAAATACTAAATATCATATTAATCACTATTAATTAACAGTAATTTCAAAGTTATTGTTATTCTACTGATTTAAAATTTTCATATAGCCATAAGAATTGTATAAAACAATAATAGTTTTATAAAAAAAAAAAAAAACTACTAAACTAAAATAATTTATATCAAACATATGCACTCTATTTCTTCTAAAATAAACTGTCTATAACTATTTAAATTTAACAATATAGTTTCGAATTGAATTCGTAATGTAAATACAAATTTTTTTTTTTTTTAAAAAAAAAATCATACTTAAATAACTAAAGAAATTTAAAATATCAAGCATTTACTGCAAGCCATAACACATATGAACGTCACAGCTAATTCCTAAATTTTGAGTAACAAATTTTTTAAAAAAATTCAAAAGATATACTATATTTAATACCAGTCAATAGCAAAATTTAGCAATTAAAATCAACATTGAGCCGGCCGCGAATGTGTTAGGAACAAATAAATTGAAAATGAGCATCGAAGTGATAAAAAATTCAAGAACAAAAGAACTTATAATTCCACATATTAGGAATTGAATGGTGGAAGGAGAGTTCTCCCAACTCCACTACTTAACTAAATGCCTCACCGCCACCAACCAAGATCAATTAGGAAAAAAGGGCAGATGAAAATATACAGTCATTATATCTAACACAAGTTTGATTATCTAAATAAGCTCAAGTTGAACATCTTAATCAAGTAGAATCTAAAGCTAAATACATGCCTATCAAATATTTGACTGAATACAATAACTAACTCTATGAGTTAAATAATAAACAACTCCATTACGCAGATCAATAAACTTGTTTCTAATCCAAATTGCCAATTTGTTTTCATAGTTTCCATGAGTTAACACAAACACCAATCACAGTACAACAGATCAATAACTTGGCTTCTATCTAAATGGCCGACCGAATTAGGAAGACATCTTTGATGCTTAGATTCCCAGAAATCACTTGTCCTCACCACCTTTCTCAAATCAATCATGACACATTAGGTAAAAACATTAACCCTTTACCATACTTATTCAAAGTAGTCTGAATCTATTAAATAGAACCTCAATATACCCCGTACAACTAATTGATAGTAGAAACAAAATCCAACATGAAAGAAATGTAATTCAAATTTCACTTGCATCAGTGAATTGTTTCAACTAA